AAAATCGGGGCGTTGTGTAGCGTGTGACTTGGGGATTTGTAATTTTATCTACTAGAAAGACTCTTAGGCTTCAACCATACCAATGCGTGCAGATCGCCATTGCCAGCGCGATCAAAGGCAAATGACAGGTCGTGCGACCTATGACAGTTCACGCGATCTGTCATTGGCCTTTGATCGCGCCGTGATCGCGCCGCCGATGGCGATCTGCACGCGTTGGTGTGGTTGAAGTTTTAGTAGACACCAACTGAGCTCTTGACTACAAATGGGGGCGCTAAAAAAGAATTTATTCTCTAAGTGGGCAGTAGACAAAATAAGTTGGGAAACCTTGCTTTATATCAACGCCGCGATTGAGTGGCGATGCGCTCGCGTACCAAATGCAGCGAACGTGAGAAGAATGAAACTGGTACGTTAAATGGTATGTTAATTCATAAACTGTAATTAAATTAACATAATGCATAGAAGTGGGGTCGGTATGGGAGTTTAAATCGATATTTTATTAAACATATTAGTGCCTGTATCCGTGCACTGTGACCTAGATTAACCAATGACGTCCATTTCCCCAAAATGATTCGTTAATAACAGTTAAATTTTCCAATAAACTCAAGTATGTAAAAATATTCATACACTGTGTTTCACACAAGTGTATTAGATTACCTTACGCTTGACCTAAGATAAAAACAAAATTATCATAAATGGTCAATAAAGTACGTTAATTTAAAAGTTCCTTTTAAAATATAGACCAACATCTGTACAACGACAAAATATGAGCAATCGCAATTAATTTATTATAATTAATTCAATGCAGTTTCATGGGCCAGTGACCTAATTTACATCTCGCTGCGTTTATTATAAGTTATTGGGCAGTAAACGTGTGTTAAGTATTTTAAGTAACATCTGTGATCGAACTAAATAGATATCATCATCATCATCATCATCATTTCAGCCATAGGACGTGTGGACGTCCTATGGCTATGGCGTGGGGAGGCCTATGTTCGACAGTGGTGTTGAACATAGGCCTCCCCCAATGATTTCCACAATGGCCGGTTGGTTGCGGCCTGCATCCAACGCTACCTTTATGAGGTCGTCGGTCCACCTTGTGGGTTGAATAGAGGTATATAGAGGCTACAAATTATTTGTATTATGACTAAATTCGAAATTCAATATTAAATGCATGTTTTAATAACAACATTTTACAGTAGTGTTTTTTATTATGACTACATATCTTTCATTAAGTATATTTGGACCATGTTTGGACCCAAGAGTCAAGTATGAATCTATGTACGCACTAACATAATTATTTTGTAAGTCACTTGCGTTAAATTGGCAACAAAATCTCCACCATCTTGTACCAAATTAGACCCTCAGCAAACATTGGCCGCAATATTCCCGGAGTCTCGTTAAAACATAATAATATACATTAACTGGCCACCTAAATATTCGTAAACTATTCCAATTCATTACATCTTAACGGGGAGTTAAAGTTTCGTTAACCCACCCCTAGATTTACTTTGCTAGCGATGAAGTTGGCCAAACTTAATTAAACTTTTCTTCTATTATGTTAATAAAGTACCAGACAATAAAAACCGACCGCTTAGTCCGTGTGCCGGTTGTTTACGGAGGATAAAACTGATTTAGCTGTCAATAAACAAAGAGCAAGTACGACTGGCTTAATTTAACTTTCGAGTAAGCACTTAGATGATTTAATATCTTTTTATTACTGAAATTGGCTATTTAACTTTCAATTAGGTTAATATTTTGCTTCGTCTTTACTTCTTTGTGTCGGATTGTAATTTGATTTCTGATTGGATTGTATGTCTGTCAGTTTACGGCCCAATTAATAGCAGTAAGGTCGGTTTTAACATGGTAATTCTGTCCATCCATCACTGGTTCAAAGTCGTCACAGGGACCGCAAAGGCGTACAGTGTGTATCAAAGTGATAGCGATTGCGATTGCTATAGATTCTGAGACACACTGTCACAGTGAGGAAGCAGAGCTACGGGACTATTCTATAAACAGAGTTGCCAATCAATTTTGATGACTAAAGGACATATCATGAGAATGTGGCATCTTGTGTACCATTTTGCTACAAAACTTTCATATGTCGATGGTACTATTCTCATCTTCGTAAACGGTTGGGTCTGAATGATAAGTGACTATCGTGAAAAAGATACATAATAACTTTGGAGGGTTAATCTTGTTGGTATAGGCCAAGACGTAAAAATTGTTTCTGATATTTTGTTTTGATTTTCTACCCTTTTCTAAGACGCATCATTTCAGCGGTATACCAAGAAAGGGTGAATCCTCCCCAAAGAATTTCGATATTAATATTATTTCGGGTAAAATTGCTATGATTTGCGTATAATTTTGCCAAGCCAACAGATAAAGCCGGCCACAGGTTTCCCTTATCCAGTAGCATTACTTAAAGATATTAAGTTAGCTTTCAAATTAATTTGATTCACTTTGTCTACTCAGTCGGATTTCGTAATGCCAAATATCTTTTAAATATTAGCTTCAACCGTATTGCGAGAGCGTCTTATTATGATGGCGAGTAAGGGTGAAGACACATGAGCGTTATTTTTAAGAATATAATTACCGTTTTCTTAAAGCGTGCGGTATGAGTGCTCCTATTTATTGACCATAACATTTTTATCTCAGATTTAACAAATTTTTAAACTTCATCGCAATGTTTTAACATATTTTAAGTAAAACTTCCTCGATTTTTGTTAAGATTGAAGCAAGGATCACTCAATCCATATGGATGTGCATATGCACATTACATAAATGATAAAAGTATTTTGGAATTACCGTTGCGTATTATCTACAAGAAAACAAAGATAAGAGGTCCACCTTTTGCATCAATTTCGTGAAATATTATCAAATTAGTAAGACCGCTAACCGTTTTGTTGTGCTGAAGTGGTGATAAGGCAAGCGTAAACATGTAAAAATATCTTAAAAAACGTCCAATTACCTATAGATTTACAATTTATAATAAGTTTAAATTAAATTCATGTAGCGATATTGAGTTACAAACTTGTCCGCATGGATCTACTTTGTGTGATGTACTTTTCGCTAACTGTTAATTATTTACAAGGTGATGAATTTCTTTTATAACGTTTAGAATACAGGACATAGCAACATCTTTTAATGTTCTGTGGTCTAGAAGGGAGCCACACAATAATCAGCCGTGAGTCGTCGTAGCCGAATGGTAAAGCTCTTTTAGAGCGCTTTCACATTTAGGCGATTTAGCAGCGCGACAAACGCGCGACAGACGCGCTGTCGAAAATGTTATACTATGTGACAGCGGATGCATGCCTTCACATTACAAAAACGCCGCTGCCGCGCTGCTGTCGCGCTACTAACGACCTGATGTGGCTGATGTGAAAGCGCTCTTAAAGCTTTTTTCGTCACTGACGTGGCCGATATAATCACATTTTTATATCGGCCAATCGGTAATTTCATCCCGCAATTAGTATAGTGTGAAATATTTTATTTTGTGGTGGACGATGTTTGTTTTTGAAACATTTTAGAGAATAAAAATAGTGTGTCAATTAAATTAAATAAGTTTGTTAAACAATTTAAATAGTTAACTAAACTATAAATAAGTAAATATTTAAAACTAACTAAACAAACAATTTTTCACTTATTTTATCCTCTCCATGGGTGAAGATACACCAACTCTACTTTAATACTTCTTTTTTCTTTATTTTCTTTTTTTATAAATTTTAACATCTTTTTATAAAAATATTTCTGTTTAACTTTTACTTTACTTTTTATATTTTTATGTAGGTAGGTATAGTTATTCAAACTATAGTTAATTGATGCCTAAATTACATACAAATCAGGTTGGATATCTAGTGTCAGTTACGGTCAGCTTAGTGCCGGTTATCGGGCTGAACTAATACCCTATGACGTATGGAGCGTCGATAAAGATGTCACGGGTTAATTGGCTACAGTTTTACATGTAAATCCATCAAAAACATATTCTTGGAACGAAGTGCAGACGGCGTACCAACAGGAACAGTGTGGCATTCTTATGTTGTTGCAATAAGTGTGATTTTGCAACTGAAGTATAGTAATATGTCGACTTATGTATTTTGCGATAATTTTGCGAATTTTTATCGACCTATAATCTTTTATAACAAAGCAATACAATGTTCTATCACTGTTTCATCAACCCCGTTTAATGCTTTTAATCAATACCAAAATGATTATTTTACAAAAAGTTAAAAACAAATCCTTCACTAATTATGAGAAACGCTGTTATTTTAACACTAATTTATGCTTTATGAATAAGAAAGAGAACTAAACTATAAATAATGATAGTGTTAAACTTAATGAGCTATAACCAACTACTCGTACGTAACAGACATGCACACTGCATAGCCTATCGTGCCCGCCAAAATCTAAATTCAATTAGTTTCAACAACCAAAAAAGTTGGCATCCAACCAAAAAATGAAACGCATGCGCCGAAAATATTCAAAATTTATTTTTATCATGCGCTCGTTATTAAGGAGAGAAAAAAAAAAGTTGAGTCTAGTGTTTGAGAGATAAAAAAAGCTTAACACTAATAAAATGGTGTACTAAACTAGTTAAACGTATCATACAAGAACAAAGTATAAAAAAGTTTTAATATTAACTTAGTCATTAACAAAATTACTTAATTAAGCTATAAAAAGTACTAAAACTGAAGGAAACAATAAATTTGAATAAGTATCTTAACAATAAGTAATTAATCGGTCTTTCATAACCCCAAATACTTATCGTTGTCAAAATAATTAATCAAAGTGCATCAACTCTAATGAAACTAGGACATGTCGACATTAAAGGCATCAAAGCGCTGTCATATTGCGCGAAAGACATCTCATTAATTAATTACTGATACCACACTGAATATATTCGTCGCCGCGGCCCTCGTTGTCGCTAACGTTATTAACTTAACGCCATTAGCCGCCAGTCGACGGAACCGCTTGTAATTATGTTTGCAATAAATCGTACAGACCCATATTATCAGAGTTAGAGCAGGAAGGGCTCGGGAAAACCAGCAGGAAGCCGAAGCCGAGCGCGATTACCCCACACACGTTCATAATGACCACGTTATTAAAAAAAGTCCCCAAAAACACTGCGAAACTACACAAAAAAGACTTTAATCCGAGTCATTTCAATAAAAAGTTCAGCACTGGCCGGTAAAAAACACGCCGCCGAAAAAGTTTGATTGCGTTCGGAAACGCACGCGGCTGCCAAAACTTTCCCGCCGCATGTGACGTTTGCCACGTGACAACAACATTCAGTTCCGTTATGTTGGCAGCAGGGCGTGTGGCCACAATGACTCCGGACGTTCGACTGACGCGACCCGACGGCACAACGCCATACGACTATTGGTCACGACTGAGGGCGAGCCCATCAATTTAGCTTGACGTTTCAATGAAAACCCCCTTCTTTTTTCCCCGGAGAGAAATTACGGAGTTTCGTCGGGGTATAATTAAAAATGTGTATCGATTTCGAAGATATTAAACTTCAGTTTGTGTTTTAACTGGAATAAAGTGAGTTGGAAGTAATAATAACTTACTTTTAGCGCGAAAGTTTTAAGCTTTATCCGAGCGTTATCTGCTTCTTGCATCAAATATTTCATAAATGGGCTGTTAGAGAGTTGTAATATCTAAAACGGCAAAAAAGTTACGCAGCTACATAATTATCTCTTATCTTATTTACAACTATAAATATTTCACATTCACAGCATGTGTCTGTATTCATTAAAATCGATAACTCTGATAGCACCAATGCAATCACAATCGCTTAAAAATACTCATTAAAAACTAGTGTTGCCATTAAAAAACAATGTTAAATAAGAAACGGTTCCGGCGAGAATTGAAAGCACTTTAAACATTCATATCGAGGAAAGCACGGTTGTTGCATATTTATTTTTTAATGCCCTGCCTCACTGTTTACATTTTCGAACTAGGTTGAAATTAATAAAATCCATTTTCCACTGGAAACTGGTTTTTCAACGCGATAAGACGGCGGGCAAGAAAAAATGTAAAGAACTGGAACGTTTCATTTCTGTATTGGAAACTCGAATTTATAGTGAGTCCGAATAGTTATTACAGAGTTAAACTACGTTCAAAGAGAGGCAAAACCCGGACACAGGGTTTTCTTATGAAATTATTTGATGTTGACATATTGCGTACCAAACTTTATCAAGTTGGTCGCAAGTTTTACACAGTTTTCCGACATGCGTAACTTATGTCTAACATTTACGAATACTTTTGGTCAGAACTGAAACTTGCCCTTAATTGAAATATAAGAATTCTTATACATAAATATACCAAAATCGACTTTTAATTAAATCTTTTGATCAGTCCATATAATTTATTATGATTAATTAATTCCGCTTTCTATCCATTGTTCGATTCTTAATTCGGAATGGATGAGTACAACAGAGGACTAAATGAAAATTTCTCTTCATCTTCCGAGAACACGCCATTTGAAGCGTCAATATTGTTGAAATGAGTAAGTTTTTGTATTTTACTTCCTGTGAAATGCGTATTAATTACATTCAATTAAACAAATTTGCCTACGGATAATCGAGACTCATCAAAGATAACACCTCAGAAGATAGCATTAAGGCTAATATTACTTTAGAATCGCTGATATTTGAAATTGCGATCGTTAAGGACACGAATTTTATTAATTTTGTATGTACATATTTAATTGCAGAAGTTTTAATATTTAGGTACCTACTTATTAAATATCGACTACTTTAGTTTTTGTACGCTCGAAAAGTATCAAACTCATATATGGCATTATGGAGTAAAATGTTGAATTTTAGCAGTTACCTGTAACCATCAGTAATGACAAAAAAATCCACCCTTAATTGGAAACTGCACGAATATTATGCATATTTACGCCGCAGCAAAGCGCATTAAAATTAATGACGTGAAAATTTGATCCGGTGTAGGTTGTGTGTCTATGTATATTCCATAGCACACCATAAAGTTAATATACCTAGCGAAATAGAGCAACAAAGAACTAAGCGAACGAGATGTCACTAGCAGCAACTAACACTGTGTGATAAAAAGAGATAATGCCGTCGCGTCAATCACCGTCATGTTAAACAGAACCGTTTTTTGCAACTATTTGACAGTATGTTAGCACTCATTGAGTGATTGAAATGGTGGATGTTTATGAGAAATGGTGCTTCAGGAACGTGGGACTGGTTCGGTGATTGATTATTGGTACAAAACAGTGAAATAATCCTGACCAATGACACACAAACGACATTCAGTGTCATCCAAAATCGGTTTCGTTTGACAGCTCGTGGTTGTTGCTCTATTCAGAAGGAATATTAACTTTATGTAGCATACGCATTTAGAAAAAGAAAATATTGTACCCTCATTTGTTACCTTTTTTTCCGGAATAAAACCCAAACTGATAGGACGTGCGATAACTTTTTGTATTTCTACATATTCGAAGTTATCCAATGGTAGATCGAGTACAATTTTTCCATATTGTTCACATCCAAAGACTACATCCCATTCGATTTTCGTTTCTTTCCGTAACTGGGACTCTACTTACATACAATATCAATATTGCAATACAGCTAAGTGTGTCTCTTATTTACCCTATATTTCTAAGAAAGATGGATGAGTGGAAATTATTTTTAGGAGTAAACCGCCTGAGTTCCTTGAATAGAGACTGTATTGTGAATTATTTACTTGAATAGTGAATATGCCACGCCAACCTGCGTATGCGCACAATTATGTGACAGCTGCAAACAAATGCCAAAAATAAGAAGAGTCATGAAATAAAATAAGTAACATAACCCTTCATCAATGAAATTCCATTTTATAGGCCACTGAATTTTTTTATGAACGATACCTCAGATCTTACTTCAAGTGCCTGGTGGGTCATTTACAACGCTTGACGGGACAATATGTTGAGGATTTGTAATTTCAAGAAAAATTTGAGTAAATGGTTGCTATCACTGACACTTTACGATTTAAAAGAGTTCTTTGACTTGCTGTAGTTTTATTCTTCTTTAGAATCGTCGCTAATATCGTGGTGTTTCTAATTTAATTTTTGTATGCTAATAATTTTAGCTAATCATGTATCGTTCTCACTGTCTGTACCTAACATCTTTATAATACCATGTTTAATTGCAATAAATGATTATGATTATTATTATGATTGTAATTTAAAAAAACACGAAAAGTCGAAGAACGTACATAGTTTGTCTGCTAGCACATATCCTGCAGAACAAAGCAGACATTAGAAATAGCTTGTTCAGTTTAGTTACTGCACTGAGCTGCCTTGGGCGTGAAACAAACACTAGTGCTACAAAGTGGACTTTCCTGGAAGAGAATATCACTTACCCATTAATTTGTATTTTGCCAGGCAATCAAGATCTCTAACTGGTACCCAATAGGTCTTAAGCTAGGAATCTTATCACAAAATAATCTTTGAGACTCTATAAAAAGTTTAAACAAAAAGAGTCCAAATGTTTTTTTGATAAAAGTGATATAATAGGTAAATGCGACCTGTTTGTATATCTCAGCGGTTTATTTTTTGTTAAAGGCTTTTTATATTTTGTTGCATCTAAAACTTCTTCTTGGATACATTCCAGTGATATTCAACGTAACAAGTATGTCTTCTCCCAGCTTTTCTTGAAACGTTAAATAATCACACCTATTACAACTACGTTCGTTTGTTACAGACAAATGACGTCCACTGCTGGAGAAAGGCCTCCCCCAAGGATTTTCACTAAGACCGGTCCTGCTCCGCCTGCATCCAGGCACCACCCGCGACCTTCACCAGTAGGCCTAAGATGCGCGCCGCGATAAGCAGTTGTCACGCCATTTTGTCGAATTTCCCCATACATTTTGACGTCGATAAAAGTTATCACGGCGCACATCTTACCTTTCATCAACCTACCTTTTTTATCCCTAACGCTTCTCGCTCTACGTAACTACGTAAGTTACCACAAATTTTTAACTTGACTTTCTGTTGTACTCACATAACCATAAAAGACAACTCGGAATGCGGCCCTGAGAGCTTTTATATTTCTTTTTCAATAATAAATATTATCTATAGCATGTTATTATATCGGTAAACATAGCATGTTATTAGCCGTGTGGTGACGGCAGAGTAGAATACATTTGTCACCAACCCCTGCTCTTCCCGCACGGGTGATGTCGTAAGAGGCGACTTAGGGACTACACATCAAACAGAGAACGGGCAGCAGCGCTCTCTGAAAAACATCCATCTTTTAAACTGCGATCTCCAACCCGCCTGCCAAGCGTGGGGATTATAGCAAAACCCTCCACTATCGTGGAGGAGGCTCATAGTCCAGCAGTGGACTGTAAAGGGCTGTTGATGATGATGTCGGTAAAATTATTATGGTAGTAATGGGACACCTTTCCGACTACAGCAACTAAAATCTTTGGAGACCATGTCTTTGTGATTTTCCTGGTCATTTTGTTTCATTTCTTGTGACACACATAGCCGCTGCGATGCGGTCTTTACAGTCTACATATTCCCACATTATTAATCCTATAATCCAATGCAAAAAAAAAGTAAGAAGACCCAAATACGACCCTGGCCAGGCGTTTGAAGCTGTACCAATCCAATAAAATGAGATGCCACTTGAAACACAAGGGAGAAATGAAATAAATACCTACACATCCAATATCGACGAGTCACCGACGTGAATTTATATCTCCCAAAGCTACTATTTTGTGCGTGCAAGAGATTTTTTCCCTTGTTGAGTACACAAAACCTTTTCACTTTCATGTCACAGGCAACTCGAATTGTTTCGGCATCCGTTAAAGTATTTGCCAAAGCCTCTCTCGTCAAATCCAACAGTTTCGCAGGATATTGGAATCATAGTTGCGTGTCGTCGCGAAAATTACTGAGCTTACATGTGTAAGAGGACCCACAAAGAAATATAACCCTTGGCACATTGCTTATTGGGTATAATAGCGCGTGTATTAAAACCATAGTGGGACTAGATACAGTAAGGTGGCCACTTCAGTTCCCACTACCTTATCAAGTTGAATAAATTTATTTATAATAAACCCTACTTTACTTATCCGCTCATGTAGACTAAGGCTGAGTGCTACGACAAAAATCTGTCAAACTCCATACAAAAAACACCGGTTAATTGTTATTGTTACAGTTAAAATAAGATATTGCAACTCATCCACAATGTTAATGTAATTAAGCCTCATTAATATTTATGGAGCTACGCTAAAAAAAATTTTTTTTTTCAATATTCTACCATTTTGTCGGCGTGATTAATACATATACATACCTCCACAAAATTACAGCTCTCAAACCAATGCATTAACTCATATCAAGCAGTGCTTTGCAGCACTATTCCCTCAAGATT